TTTTTTTTTTTCTCAAAATGTCTTCTCATTCCGAAGACCATCAAAACAAACGAGATCAGCCAAAGCATCATTCATCTCCATCCTCAGACACAAATAATAATCACCAACCAGCACCAGCACCACCATCACAACCTCCACCGCCACCACAACCACCCAACAACCAATCTCCGGCACACGGTTATCCGCCGGCGATGGGTTACCCTCCGCAAATGGTGCATACCCATGGCGGGCCATACCCCGGCTACCCTCCCCCTCCTCATGGTTATAACCAATACCCTTACGCACAACTCCCACCAGGTGCCCCTTATTACAATCAGGGTTATGCATCTCCCCAGCATGATCGATGTTCAGGATTCGCGCGTGGAATTATTGCAGCTATGTTTGTTTTAATTGTTCTTACCTGCCTCTCAAGCCTAATCACCTGGGCCGTTTTACGTCCGCAAATCCCAGTTTTCCACGTAGATAACATGTCTGTCTCCAATTTTAATACCTCAACTCCTTTCACGGCAACATGGGATACAAATCTCACATTGGAAAACCCAAATCATAAGTTAAGACTTTACTTGGATAAAATCGTGGGTGCCATGTTTTACGACGATGAGGAGTCCTTGGGTTCTTCTTGGCTTAACCCTATTTTCATGGAGACCAAGACCAAAGCCACGATGAATGCTATCATTTCCGCCAATGGTTCAGCTCAAAACGCGGTGCCGATTTGGTTAACCCAAGAAATGAGCAAGGATCGAGCCACGGGATCCCTGACTTTTGCCTTGAGGTTTCGTATATGGGCGACGTTTAAAACTGGTTCCTGGTGGACTAGAAGTTTGGTGATTAGAGTTTTATGTGACGATTTGAAGGTTAATTTCGTGGGTGCTTCAGGAAATGGGGCTTTGGCACCTGGAAAACGTGACAATTGTGATGTTTATGCCTGAGTAATTAATCTGCTCTTTTTTTTTTTTTCCTTCTTTTCATGCTTGGTTGATTTTTTTTTGGGGGATTACAAAAATGGAGAGGGTTAATTCAGGAATTTGTTACTGTAGAGATAATATAAATATTTTTTTCTTTTATTGATTTGAATATTTGGACATACATTTGTAATATTGTTCTTCCTTTTTGTTTGGTTGGAGGTGGAGAAACTGGAAATAGTACCATAGGAAAAGAAATGTCAAATAGGGGTTTGGTGGGTAGGAGGAGGTTTAATTTTCATTTTTCATGGTTTGTACTAATTAAGAACTGGAGAAATACAGACATTGCCAATATATTTTTTAACTTAAAACAGATTAGTTATGGGGAGAAAATTAACTTTGAGATTAATGGATTCTTTCTTCTGTTTAATTAGCATTTTGGGTTTAAGTTTGAGTTTTTTTATTGTAAGTTTGGTTAATGAATACCTATAAGTGTTAATATTTTTTTTGATAAGCCATTAGAGTTTTAAATTATATAAAAAAGGGGGTTATCTCGAAGCCATAGCCTCCGTAAAGGAGCCTATAAGTATTAAAAGGATGGTTATAAGTTATATCTCAAAAATATTATTTTAACAAAGACTTTTTTTCCATTAATACATTATTTTTATCAAATTCAAAATGGACAATACATTAATTACAAATTTTCCTTCATCTTAATCAGTTTCAATAGACATTGATTAACATTTACTTTTATTGTGAATGGTCAATGGCACTAATTAGATTTTTTTTATAATATTGCATGAATTGTATGTGAATTCATATTCATAAATCATTTGAATAATGTTTTACCGCACATAAGAGTGCACATATAAATGTTTTTATGTGCATAGGAGTGCAAATATAATATATTTTAATTTAGAGAAAAAGAATTCAAATTTAGTCAGGATATATATATTTGAATCAAATACTCGGATGTTAATATAATATAATTTTGTGACCAAGCAAATGAATTATTTTTTCTTTTGTTTTTTATTTTTTTTTCAAAATGCAAAGGGTTAAATTGGACCAATTGAATGAAATGGAGCGATCGTAGGATGACAAAAGCTTTAGCCGCTCGTTCCTTTCCTGTTTGTGAACAAAGAGGAAGAAATGACAAAAAATAAAAAAAACAGAAAAGAATAAAAAGGATGGATGCAGCAATATGCTTCTTAAAGGAAATTGTGAAACATTTTTATGTAGTATACTAGAGGCGGCTTCTCTTTGTTATAGTGGGGGTCATATATTTTAATTTATTACATATAATTAATTTTTTTAATTTTTTTTAACTTGGTCTTTAAAATATTGTGAAATTTATACTTACTAGCTAAGTCTAGCATATAAATTCTAACCCAATATGCTAAGTCTATCATTTTTTTTTTGAAAAAAAAGTGAGTCTACTAATGCAAACCCACTAGGTTTATATAAATCTAAATCTATCATAAGTCCAATATACTAATTAGCAATTGCAAGAGCCCAATATACCAATAGCAAGTAGAATCCTTTGGAGGAAAGCTTCCTCACTAAGCTACCAATTTTGAAGCTGAAGTGGTATTTATTTATTCGAAGCTGAAGTGGAATTTGAATTTATGAAAAAACGTCGAGCACAACTTCCTTGGAAAGAATTATAAGTGGTACTTATTTATGAAAGTCAACTATGTTTTGATAATTTGTGTTGTGGTATTTATTCTTTTAGCTTGCATAAGTGAACGTTATGTTGTGTGTGAGAATTGGATGATAGATAAAGTTTTCGTTGACTGTTAAGTGCTTTTTTTTGTTTGGTCCCCTTCCTAAAAATGTTCTAGCTTCACCCTTGTAGTATACAATACTAATCATGGATGATCATGATTTCACATTTTTTGAAACAATTCTTAATTAATTATCCACCTAACTGAAGAAAATTTTTAAACTTAAAATCTGAAAAATAAATGAAACAATTTAAATTTACAAGATAAGTACTAATATTATGTAAATTTGTCCACAACTATTAATTTGTATCAAAGGGTGAGATGATTCGTAACTAGAGTGGTGTGTACAAAGTCCTAAGAGAATGAATGGCTAAAACAACAAAATTGGCATAGCTTGGAGAATTGGAGTAGAAGCTTGAAAATGGTGTTTGTAGGTAATAAGAGTCTGATGATAACTTGGAATATGTTGAAAGAAATTTTTGATCACTATGCGATTGTCATGGATGTTTTTATCACCAGAATCCTAAAAAATGAAAAAACCAAACTTGGTTTTGTAAAGTGTAGGGAGGTTGAGGAATTACGAAGTGTGATTAATTGAGGACATCGCAAGAAAGTTGATGGTAGGTCCATAATTGTAAAAGAGGTTGATTGCATGAGAGACTCTGAAGGTATCCTGACCAACAAGCAAAAGGAGTATGTGTACATGTGGAAGACATCGCTAGCCATAAAGGTGGTTTGTGAATAGTTTCAAGAACAACGAATTAAAAATGTAAAGAAGGATAAAAAGAAAGGCGTCATGGTGATTTTTATCGAATTAGAGATGGAATGGCTAGCAAGGAGTGCTATTAGAAGACCAAAAGGTGTCATCAACTATCGAAAAGGTCAAAGTGCACTTTTCTTTAAAGGCATTATGGTTCAGGTTAGACTAGCGAAAGGTTTGCATGTTTTGTTAATGTTTGACGATAAAAAAGAAATAAAGGTTTTGTTGGGACATTATAAAGAAAATTTTGACTTTTGGTTCGAAACTATTAATCACTACAATGTCAACATTTACAAGAGGCATATGTTGGTTTAGGTTAAAATTGAAGAACTACCACTTCTCTTATCGCTTGAAAACCTTTTTGAGGCCATTAAGAATAAATGGGGAAAGTTTTTACAAGTTGATAAGAAATAAGAGCGCATTTAATTATGCATTAGTGTTAGTATAGGTGGATAATACGAGAAAAATCCCAACTTTCCTTCATATTTAGGCTAACAACCAAGCTCATGAAATCCATGCTTCCATTATGAATATAGGGAATTGTGATATATAGGTGCAATGGAAGGAAACAAGAAAAGGTATATAATCCAGAAAGATGCATCTTATGGTCACGATAAGGAAAAGAGTAAAAAGTGGTAGGCAAACTTTGCCAACAATGCAAATTCCAAAGATTGAGAAATAGTTAACTTGAGGCATTGGAAAAAAAAGAAAACAAGCCTTTTGTGTCAGGAAAATTCAAATTGGTGTAGCATCTAGTATTGAATTTGCAAAATATTGTTTCCTCATCTGAACATGCAAAATTAAGGAAAGTTAACTATTACTTTATTGCCAAAAATGGTGAAAGGCCATACAAGTAGTTTAAATGGAGGATAATTGACAAAAAACACTAAAATGACAAGCAAAGGCCTAAGAATGGGGAAACCATTAGACTAAGTATGGAAGAAGAAAACACTCAAATGAGGATAGGCCTGTGTAAGGATTCCATTGAGCTCATGTTAAAGGCCAACAAAGGTAATGGGTGGGTAAGTGTCACAGTCCCATTTTTCCACGTCACAAGGTATTGTTTACTTTGGCTCTATAGAGCCTTATGGTTTCGTCTCAAAAAGGTGCTTTGTGAATGGAAGGTATGCTACCTTTTAAAGCCCAGGGTCTTTTCTTATGTTTTGTCAATGTGGGATTTGCCTAAAGGCCTTTAGCCCCCTTTATGAGACTTAGTGTCATGAAGTAGAGTTGTATAAGGGATTGAGTTTTTTGTACTTGTAAAGGAAATGTTCTTTTTTCAAACATTGTAATGGCTCGTGGTGACATTTCTAAAAATACTTATTAAGTCTTTAAGAGGGGGAAGACCCTTTAGGAAAGGAATGTCCTCATCTCAAGTGTTGTAATGGCTATTGGTAGAATACATATAAAACCTCGTAAACTTTTTATATGGGGTGAGCAATCGGTGTATTGTTGGGCTGCCTCATTGGTCAAGGTATATTTATAGCGAATCATCTGGGACTGCCCCTATGGCCCGACGATGGCGTGTCTTGGTCCCTTGTACTCATTTCCATATGAACAAAACATTTTTCCTTTTTGTGGCTTAATGGTTACATATATGACATTAGATATGCCCTATGATTTTGATATGTATTGTCTTAGTCTGATTTGTTGCTATTATTGATGCTTGATTAGATATAAATGAGTATTGATTGGCTTGCGTGGAAGCATCCATTCAAGGGCTACATGGACTATTACATTCATTGAAGAAGGTGCATAGTTCGTGACAGTTGGTATCAAAGTATGAGTGATATGTGCTAATCTAGAGAGTAACAATGGTGACCACGCAGAGTTCATCAGAGGACCATCAGAGGATTGATGAGCTAGAAGCCACAGTGGTTGCAGTAAAAGGTCAGATGGTTCTGCGCAAGCAAATAGCTGAAATTAAGACAATCTAGTGGGAATTGTCCAAGTTGATTAATATCCTGAGTGATAAGACCAAGGATGCATTGAGCACTTTCGAAGGCATGATTGGAGAATTGAAAAGCTTAGGTAAATATTTTGGTTATTGCTATAAGTAATATCAGTGAAAATTCAAAAGATAGAGGTAAAGGGGCCAAAGTGCCAAAACCCAAGTGATATGAAGGGGTCAGGGATGCTAAGGAGTTGGAGAACTTCCTTTTTTATATGAAACGGTATTTTCGAGCAATGCACATAGAGTCAGAGGAGGATAAAGTGGAAATAGCTTCAATGTATCTTGTTAGGGACGTGAAATTATGGTGGTGTTCCAAATTCATTAATGGTGAGTGCCACATCAACACTTAGGTAGACCTTAAGTGAGAATTGAAGAGCCAGTCTTTCCTTGAGAATGTTGAATTTATGGTGTGATGGAAGTTGTAGAAGTTATCACAAACGGGGATCAGTGCGAGAGTTCGTGAGCAACTTTTCTACCTTAATGCTAGATATCAAGTATATGATTGAAAAATATAGACTATTTTATTTCCTCAAGGGTTTGAAACCATGGGCAAAGATAGAGTTATAGAGACAGAAGGTACAAGATGTGACTTCGGTGATGGTGGCTACCTAGTGCCTTATTGATTATAATGAAAACTCCAACAAAGAGAAAGACCTTCCATCCAAGATTAGTAACTCTAGCTTAAAAGTGAGGTAAAATTTTCGATAATGAGCAAACACTCGAGTGGGGGAGGTGATAGGAGACCACCTGCTAGAGACTCACTGTAATCGAGAATAAACAAGCCACGGAACTTTAAGCCATGACCTCCGATATCTTGTTTTT